GGGGGGTCCGGGCTGCAGAGCATCGCCCAGAAATGGCTCGCTGGCCCTCGGTGCGTGGAGGAAAGCTTGTGGGGTTTGGAGAGCGGCTGGTGAAGCCTCGTATCAGGAGAGGCTCAGGGCCACCCTGTTAGGAACTGGGGAGCTCCTGGCCCAGGGAAAGGGGTTGGACGCTGGATCCTGTGAGGCCGAGGGGTGCCCTGCGTCTGCCCGGCTGTGTCGGAGGTTTGAGCACTGCGTGAGTCTGAGCAGGGTGAGTGTCTCCTGTGGGGGAGAGGGAGCGTCCCCCAGCCCTGGGGTCTGGCCCTCCTTTGCCTCGGATCTCGCAGGGCGTGGGGGCACTCGGGCTGCACCACGGAGCAGGAAGAGAGCAGAAATGTGCCTGTGGCGATGGCTGAGCATCGTTGTGCCCCGGGGGAGCCTAAAACACACCCAAAGGGGGTGGCTGTTCCCTAAGTTTTTTGTGAACATGCCGTAAATGCGGCGGTGTCCTCTGCGGCGGCAGGGCCTGACTAACCCTGACACCGCCTGGCAGCGCCGGGGGAATCCCCGTGCCGCAAACCAGCCTCAGAGCCAGCGACGAGCTGGATGGAGACCACTGAGCCCTTGGGGGCCGCGCTCGCCCCAGTCCCCCTGTACCAAACCCTGTTTCTCCCATCCTGCAGGGTCGCAGCTCCCCTGTTTCCACGGCTCATCCACCATCCGCAACCTGAAGGAGCGGTTCCACATGAACATGACGGAGGAGCAGCTGCAGCTGCTCATCGAGCAGATGGTGGACGGCAGCATGCGCTCCATCACCACCAAGCTCTATGATGGCTTCCAGTACCTCACCAACGGCATCATGTGATGGCCACGGGCCTCCCTCTCCCAGAACGGCTCCGTGCCCGCCGCCGCGCCCGGCCCAGGCCCGAGCTTTGCCCCCAGGGAAGAAGTCTTGGTCCTCGATGGTAAAAAGGAGGCCGAGTCTCAGCATCTTCCCAGGGCTGCTTTTTGCCAAGACTCCTCGACAAAATGAAACAAGGAAAAACCAAGCAGTCGAAGCAGGAAAAACAAACCAAAACAAAACACCCAGTCGTGAAAAATCAAAGCGAAACGGATCATGCGGTAACTGAGCTTGCTGTCGTGCGAGCGCGGGGTCCGGTGGTGGCCGGGCAAAAGCCAGCAAAGGGCCTCGGGACCTGGGGGGGGGGGGGAGCGCGTGCCCCCGCGCT